TTACCAACGAGGCAAACTTCTGTTTTGCATATCAGAGCATTAAATTTTTTCTTCATTTTATTGTCCAACAATTTTGGTGGACTATATAAGAAAAAAGTGAGGTGGCCAGAAAGTCTGTGAAGAATTTTAAGGTCCATCTAAATAACAGGCATTACGAACTATCACCATTTCATCTTAAATAATTAATTCTATTGAAATTTTTAATGGTTTGGGAAATTTATGCTACAACCAGACTTATAAAAAAGAATTTATATTTAAACTTTCTCTTAGTATTTCTGCAGTTCATGCTGTGTGTTACCAAACATTAGTTGGAAATAGTAGCTATAAACAGATGAAATTTGAGAAAATAATATAAAAATAGTTATGCTTGTTATACAATCCAGCCTCTTTAGAATATGATGCTGATTTTTTACAAACCATGCTTCATTCAACATCGAGCATATGGCATTGTGGTTCTGAGACAAATATATCTCTGATCAAGATTTCTATCACTAAGGAGCGCCTGGGTGGCTCAGTCGTTAAGCGCGTCTGCCTTCGGCTCAGGTCATGATCCCAGGGTCCTGGGATCGAGCCCCACATCGGGCTCCCTGCTCAGCAGAAAGCCTGCTTCTCCCTCTCCCACTCCCCTTGTGTTCCTGCTCTAGCATTGTCTCTCTCTGTCAAATAAATAAATAAAATCTTAAAAAAAAAAAAGATTTCTATCACTAAATTTTTATTTATTAGGCACTTCACAAAATTCCCTTTTATTCTTTATTACTTAGCCCTTTCTATTATAGAATATTGCTTACACACAATTAATCTATTAGATTAATACAGCAATCACAAAAACTCAATAGAAAAGTAGCTTAATTAAAATAATTACACAATTTTGACCATAAGCAATTTTAGTTAATTCTTATCCATTACAAATATTCTAACAGGTAGGGCTTAGTTTGTGAGAGTACATGCTAATATCGCCTCATATTTCTTTTCCTACAGTAAATTTGAAACATAATGCCACCTCAGCTGGCATAAGAAATTCATATATCAATGTGAACAGAGAAAGGGAAAGGGAGTTTAAATACAAGAAGAACAAATCAAAAGCTTCTATTTTTAATGTTATCCTTTTACTATATAAGTAAAGCAAGTATGTTTAGGCCAGGGTCCCACTGAGGGGAGCTGTCTTGTCATCTGTTAAACTAAATATTCTATAAACATGTGCAAATGGCCCTAAATAAATCTAAAATACAGTTTTAAAAAAATTAAATAAAAAGAATATCCAATAAAGGATTAATACCCCAAATATATAAAGAAGTTACATAATTCCACACCAAAACAAACAAATAATCCAATTAGGAAATGGGCAGAGAACCTGAATACACCCTTTTCCAAAGAAGATATACAGATGGCCAACAGACACATGAAAAAATCCTCAACATCATCAATCATTACGGAAATGGAAATCAAAATCACGAGATACTACCTTACACCTGTCAGAATGTCTAGTATCAAAAAGACCAGGAATAACAAGTGTTGGCTAGGATGTGGAGAAAAGGAAACCCTCATGCACTATTGGTGGGAATGTAAATTGGTCTAAAAACAGTATGGAGTTTCCTCAAAAAATTAAAATAGAAATGTCACACAACTCAGTAACTCTACCACTGTATATTTACCCCCTCAAAATGAAAACACTAACTCAAAAAGATATATGCATCCCTATGTTTATTGCAGCATTATTTACAGTAGCTAAGTTATGGAAGCAACTCAAGTGTCCATCAAGAGATGAATGGCTAAAGGAGATGTGGTATATGCATACAATGGAATATTACTCAGCCATAAGAATAAAATCTCACCACTTGTCACAATATGGCTGGAACTAGAGGTATTATGCTAAGTGAAGTAAGTCAGACAAAGACAAATAACACATAATTTCACTTTTATGTAGGATCTAAAAAACAAAACAAAAAAACCAAACAACAACCAAGAACAAAACAAAACAAAATCCAACCAAAAAACAAAATCATAAATACAGAGAACAAACTGAGTGATTTCCAGAGGGTAGGGGATTAACAGGATGGGTGAGTTAGGTAAAAGGGATTAAGAGGTACAGGCTACAGTTATAAAATAAGTAAGTCACAGGAATAAAAAGTACGGTGTAGGGAATATAGTCCATAATATTATAATAGTTTTGTAAGGTGACAGGTAGTAGCTACACTTATTATGGTGAGCATAGCGTAATGTACAGAATTGTGGAATCACTATATTGCAAACCTGAAACTAATATAACATTGTATGTTAACTGTACTTCAATTTAAAAAGTTAAAAAATGTCAATCACCTTAAATTGATTAAATTTATTCATGTAATGGATAATATAGTATAAAATAAAACTATTAAAAAGGAGAGAAGTGAGAAGTGTTTTTGATTTCTTCCTAGTCAGCTTCTAAAAAAAAAAGTTTACTTATATAAGTAATCTCTACACCGAACGTGGGGCTTGAACTCATGACCCCAAGATCAAGAACTGCATGCCCTTCCAACTGAGCCAGCCAGAACCTCCCCCCCACAGCTTTTAATACGTTCTATGTAATTAATATATACATATATATTTTTTAACGAAGTAAAAGTGCGGATACAATTTTTTTATTTGTTGTACATTTTGAATGTTCCATTAAGAACTATTTCATATTTTGGGATGCCTGGGTGGCTCAGTCTGTTAAGCGTCTGCCATCAGCTCAGGTCATGATCCCAGCGTTCTGGGATTGAGTCTTGCAACAGGCTCCTTGCTCAGCAGGGAGCCTGCTTCTCCCTCTGCCTGCCCACTCTCCCCTGCTCGTGTGCGCTTGCTCTCTCTATGACAAATAAATAAAATCTTAAAAAAAAAGAACTCTCATATTTTTTTTTTAAAGATTTTTTTATTTATTTATTTGAGAGAGAGAATGAGAGAGAGAGCACATGAGAGGGGGGAGGGTCAGAGGGAGAAGCAGACTCCCCGCCAAGCAGGGAGCCCGATGCGGGACTCGATCCAGGGACTCCAG